CCCTGACAATCATCGTTGCTCCATTTTAGGTCTAGAAAAATTATCACGAATGATTTCAACCTATCGGACATTTAAATTTCTTGCTTTAAGAAACACTCTTAACTCCTCTGCAGAAACAGCCCGCAGATAAGGAAAGCAGATTTGGAATCAGCGTTTTATGCTCTCCTAAATGTTATATATCCTGTCTCAAAAGACCAGTACGACTTAACATTCTTCAGTTGTTAGCAGAATTCTCAGCGGGAAAGTTAAATTACTTTTCGTTTTCTTGAGTACACATACATACTGAAAAGTACTCTGCAAGAATTACTGCTTTCCTCTCCGTTTATCTTCCCCTTCCCACCTCTTTTTTCCTCATTTTGAAGAGCCTTCGAAGCTGTTACATAACTGTCTCATCTAAAAAGCCTACAATTGTTCAAGCAACAGAGCTCAAACGGTCGACTTTTTTGAGATTTTCCCCTCTTTCAAGTGTGTACATCTCGCATCTTGCTTATGGGCTCTAGACTGTTTTGTACAATAATGAATTTTATATTTTTCAGTTAACTTTGAACAAAGTTCGAACGCCCTGGCCAGTCGGTGATCAAATTATGATTGCCTAATCTAATTTGCAAAGCCGAAGTGATTTCAATAAAGTAACTTGGACCTATGAATTGGGCGCTATTTCGCTCCTAATGTCAATCAAATGATGCGATTTACACTCTTGGTTCTGTCGGTCACGTCGTGTTCCACAATTTCATCACTCATTCATAAAAGTGTGATTGAATTTTGCAAATGTTTTCTTTACAATGAGTTCGCATTTTGCATTCTAGTATGTCGCCGCCATTATTAAACACTTCACAGCATTCGTCAAAAACAGTTGTAAGTGGTTAATCATTGCGGAAACTGGTCAAGCAAAAATAAACGCTATAATGGGCTATCAAATTGAAGAGGTTTAGAGAAAAGAGACAGTTTGAACTAATTCTATGCAATTGAACAGTTCATTGTACTCATATGGGAGCTTTTATTGGGTAAAATGCTCTACACACCGGCCTTCCTCTACTGTTTCGTGCAGTGTTTTGGTGAGTATAGGCAGTACTATGGACAGTTTTTTTTTTCATAGAAACATTTACATTTTTTTGAAAGGCTGTGCACCTATTAAGGGCATGTTTTAGACAGAAAGTGTAGAAATTTTTAGCCGCCAGCCTTTTACCTAAGAAACACAGTAATGTGGGTTTTGTCATAACTGCTTGGAGTTATGAACATAGCTTCTGTATACAAGTTTCTTTATGCGTATTCTGAATATTGTGAAAGATTTCTGGAGCTTTACGCTTCACGAAATTCTTAGATCTCTGTAAACTTGCATTATTCTCAACGACCTGGCTGCTGCGCCACGAACTTATTCAGAAGTAATGACAAGATCTAGCTTACTCTTGGAAGGGGATGCTTTAACTAATTACAAATGGAAAAACCAGCAAAATTTTTATTCGCAACATCCGGACATTCCCTCTCTTTCTGGAAACCTAAGATAGGTTTAATTTTCAAAAGTTGCAGCGTGTACATTTCGGATGTTATACCTTTATGTCAGTTCATTTTTCATCCATAGGATTGGTGCGAAAAAATGGGGAATTTCTAGAAAAAGATTGCTAAGTCACAATGCTGTCCTTAGAACAACTGAGCTGATTCTTCATACAGCAAGTTTTTTTAGTTCCAAAGCTTGCGTTGAAACAAATTTAGCAAAGCTTTACTTTACTGAAATGTACACCTCTCAAACTGGCGTATAAGCTTTTCTATGCCCTGACTGGTACCACCATTTCGACTATTTCCTGCCTGTAAACGAGCCCGGCAATCATAGAGGATAATCATAAGGTTACGAAGCGGTACGAACGGACCAAGGGGCGGTTTCCACCGCTAAGCCGATGCAGATGTTCATATCTAAGGTGACTGAGGTCATGCTTCGTTCGTCAAAAGCTAGAATTGTCTGGCAGACAGTTTTTTTATGAGCCCTAGCTTGAAGTGATAAGTGGCAGAAACGTTTCGGCATCGAAGATGTTGTTGTTTCGCAACCAATTGTAACAATGTTTGTGTAACCTTGATCAAGGTGCCAATGCCAGTTGCCCATGAACTCTGACGCACTTGAGAACATCGACCTCATTTGGGATCTCTTAGCAGAACATCTGGAGTACGTCTCTTGGTAAATTTCACGTAACCTTGCGGAAATTTTACTCTGGATGTCCTTCGCAGTTACACTTTCTTTATTTCCACCTATCCCTTTCTCTAACACCGCTTCTAACTGAAAAAAATTATATAAATGCTTGTATAATAATGCCTTCATCAAAGTACCAGATGTCTGAGCAATATGCCTGCTTCCTTTCAATTTTGTTGTTTTGAGGACTTTCTCGTGGAGTTCATTTTGTTCGCTAGGGTAAGGGTTAATCATTTGTGCTTACGAAACATTCTGAAGCAGTGTCTCACAAAAACTGGTAAAGCCCAATGCATGTACAAAATACATGGAATATGATAGGAATGTTAAAAGTGTACAACTTGTTTTGAGATCTTTTTCCGGATGTTCTAAATCAAGGATAGGGACAAGGGAGAGAAAATTAACCAGTGGTGAAGGAGTTGGGCCAAACACAGTAACAAGCCAGTTAGCTCAGATTTTTAGAAGACTGATGACAGCTTTCCCATAATTAGACTTTGGAAGCCTTATCTGAAGTTTATGAAAGTGGAATAAATTAAAAAGTTAGCCTTTTCCTTGTCGCTAATGTTTCTTAGTTTCTACTTGTTTTTGAGCAATTCCATCCACTTTACCTGTTATCAAAAGAGGGAGAACTGTAGGAATACAGACTATACAAAAATTCATTAAAACTATTGAAACCACAACTTGTCTAACAATCTTTTTCCCCCATGATCGTTTTGAACCAAGGGATCTGAGAAGTGGAAGAAAGTTAACCACTGGTAAAGGAATTGCCACCCAAAACAGCAAGCCAATCAAAGTATCTTACAATGTGCATAGTTGAGGTTTTGTGACCAACGTAAACTTTTACAAGTGCAGAAAATTCTTCTTTTTGTGGTACCGATGGATGGGAGATGGATGTTTTACAACTGGCACTATAGGAACGGTAATGAGCATCATAGAGCACGTCATGGTTACAACACGGTCTATTTCGCTACATACCCTAGAAAAACGCGAAAATAACTAAGGTTTGAGGTAAAAATTATTAAACGTTGATATCCGGGTTCATTTCTCAAAAATGTAGAGAAGAGCCGTTGACCAGTGGAGAAGGAATTGCGTCAGCAAGAAAATAGCAAGTCAGTTATAGTAATCTTGCAGTGCGTATAATCAAGGTTTTGTCTGCACTTTGGGTATCTCTCAAATATCCCGTCACTTTTGCGTGACTACCGATTCTGTAACAGATTTGAATGAAATCAGTCATGACACGATTTGCCCCTCTGATGATTACATGCAAATAATGTATCGACAGAAATTCCCATAAGCCGATTATACGTGTGCATAACGGTTGACGCGCGCATGTGTGTGTATGCGTGCTTGACATACTCGTATATCACACTGAGTAGTGATTTTGCTATTTTCACAAATATCTATATCGGTTTCAGAGTTCCTACTTTGGGATTTGGGATTGATCCTAATTTTACAATACATGTTATTCTATAATACTTTTATAAGTTCTGCTAGGGTTTTTATTCGGCGATAATGATACAAGAATTCACTTCATTGACTTCCAACATATTTTTTATCTGATTTGAAAAAAACATACTGATAAATAACAGTATTTTGCAAGGAAGCAACTTGAGCAGACAAGCAAACTCTAGTTCTACAATTTCATCCTTCAAATTGAGCACAGAAGGAATTTGTCAAACAAAGAGGTACAGGGTAGTCCCTTTCTGATTTTTGATTATATTATATATATATCTATGAAATTGTGGAGACTTTTTTATGTGGTGGATTTCCACCATTTTTATTATGGCGAATAATAGTCTTCAAAAAGAAATGATTTCAATATGAACGATCATACAATATGCCTAGAATGAACAATCATTTCGACTGTTCTAGTTTCTGAAATGAGGCAAAAAAAGTCATGGAGTTTACTGAACAGCTAACTTTTTCGTACATGTGTACCAGTATAAGTGCGCAATTAAAATCATGTTAAATAGAGGGTCAAGAGTCTTTTTCTATCCTTTGCTTCCTGTGGCTATAAAAGCCCTGTGGTAGTGGAGTATGCCCTTGTTTTCTGCTTCTTAATTCGAGACTTGAGTAGTCGTAATAAGTAGAAGCTACAATCTTCTGGAATCGCTGGTTGACTCACCTCTGTACAAATTTTTGCTCTTGTATATACGAGATGTTCTCGGTAGTTGAAAAATAATTCATCAAACTTGCAAGAAGCTTAGTGAGTGTAATAGTGTAAGACGATTTTTTTAGTTGTCTCTTTTTGCTTTGAACGCCAGTCTACTTTGCATTGAAACTGTAAAAATTCGTTTATTGATTTAAAATCATACTGAAGCTCAAGTGATAAGCATGGCAGTGTCAATCTAATCATCTTCGTTGTTTTTTCGTATTTGACAATTAATAATATGACATATTATCTATCTTTCACTGATTCCACAACCGGATGCTAGTGACTTCAAGTGTCAAATTGTACTTGGCATTAGTGCCATCTTCGCCTCAGAAAATTCTTCCTTGCTTTTCTGCATTTTTTTGACCCCATTCCGAAACAATGCAATGGAATGTGCAGTTTTTCACAGGTGTCTCTCTATGCGTTCCGGGTGCAATCTAAAAAAAAGCGCAAAGCAGCTGTTAGGTACAGCCGTTGGATAGTTTATTGCCGATGGGTTATCGATTCTTTCATTAATTACACTCTTTTCAAGATTCAAGAAATTTGCTCTGAGAAAAAAGTCCGTTAATCATACTCATTGTGATCATTCCGTTTTTCATTTATATTTTTTCCGCAAAAAGTGTTGAAAAAGATCATGTTCGATTTTCATTTTTTTATTCCTTCTTTTTTCAGTCTCAGCCCAAAATAAAATGAGACGAGCCCGACCGAAATCGTATGTGCTGGCAACGTCCACCAGCCTACCGGAAACGGAACATCCATTAGCGATTAGTCACGATGATAGCAGGTACATCCGTTTGCCGAATTATTTATTGTTTTATTGATTTTCTCCCATGTCTAATATATTGATTGGTTGGAAATCGATTACTGATTTTTTTGTTTTTTAGAGAGTTATCCTCACTCGGATCGCTATCATCAATCGATCGAACACCTCGAGGAGCTTATGCTCAGCATGCACATGCACATGGACATCGTATGCAAAAATTTATCTCATTGTTTAGTCATCAGGTACAGTGGCTCCTGATTGGAAGTTTTGCGAAAGGTTACGGTAGCTTTTATAGAACTCGCCGGTGAAAATGCGTGCGAAACGTTCACGGACATCGCTTCCAATTTCACGTACACCACTGCCTGATACAATACTTCGTTGCAGTAAACTCGTACGACAAGGATGGCTACGGCATCAGGTAAGCTAGCATTTGGCTGGGGTTAGAGTAAAGAACCTTTGGGTTGTAGGAGTTAGCGCTCGGTAAAACGGGTAAACGACGACATTGGGAAGAATGCTATGCTGTACTGTTTGATCGTAGCCTCTACCTCTGTCCAAACGAACCACGTATGACGGTTGCTGAAAATTCTGGCGAGAAGGTGGGTTACTGTAAATAATAATCTTTGCGGTACCAACGTATATTGCCCATTTCAGCTGGTGCATTTACCTCCATGTGCACGTGTAGATGTACATTCGTCGATAATTGATATCGCTTATGAATGGTTAGCAATGAGCCATAGTAAACATGTGTTTCGATTGGTTACACAAACAAGGACGGAGCATTTATTCGATTTAAATAAGTGAGTTTTGTAAATTATATATTGATATTATTGATTTTATTGATTTTTTATTGGAAGATATAGCCCTACCCCAGCATATCCCCAATGCATCTCTGAACGCGAATTCTTTGTTTGTTCAGCGATGCACACTCATCAACAAGGCCACCACCTGTTCTGCATGAATTTACGAACTAATTACCTATAGTTACCCTCTTATTCCCGCTCTACCAATCGTAGCTCGAGTAACTCGTATAGGAAAGGTTTGCGCCGCCATCTCGGTCAAAACCACGGGCTCTTCAGCGCCCCCGCGACAATTACTCTGTAATCGACATTTCAAGTGTCGACCACGTTTGATGGCCCTCGCTCTCGTCGTCGGCTCGTCCGTCCGTCGTCGCAATGAGACATTGGCCAGACTTGAAAAACAAAGATAGTCTATACGAAACGCCGCTTTCGTGTGGTGGAGCTGTACAAATAAAGCCAAATAGTCGGCATTATGTTAAGGGAAATGAAAGGAGATATGGCAATTGTTTAGGTCTCATGACAATAGAAAGGTTGCAAAGGATCCCCCCCCCCCCCGCTTTGTACAAAACAATAAGTGCATATCTCTAGACTGACAGTTTTTCGAACTACTGTCAAGAATCCTGGTTAGAATTATCCTTGTGTAAAAGTCCCTAGCCCCAATATCTCTCCCCCTTCCCCTCTCCCGAATTCCATCTTCCTTCTCCTGATCGTTCGTCACTCTTGAGTACTGCAGAAATTAGTTGTGCAGTGCGAGTACGAAAAATAGAGCAATTTAGCGTTACCATTTTAATCGGAAACATTTTTAAACAAGCATCAAAAAATACCGCTAACAATCACTACAATGATGCATGTAATAATACAAAACTTCGAAGGAACCTCGAAGTTGACCTGACCATGAGAACCACCTGAGATTGTCAGCATCAAAAGATACCAGCTCGACCCGATTAATTCCAGATTTTTGATTCCAAAGCCCCTTTTTTGCGAAAATGTAGATCGTTGATTTCCTAATACATTTAGAGGACTACAGACATTCGTAGGACTTAGTAAATGTCATTTTGATTATAACTTGCTTTCACTCCAAACAATCCTTCAACCGCTCCCCCCCCCCCCCCTACCCGTCTTTCTCCTCCTAAAAAATTCCTGTGATCACCATTTCAGGAAGGTGAAAATTCATGCTTATCCACCTAAATCATGCATTCCCCTATTCAAAGGTCTGTTCGAATCAAAAAGATCATTGGCTCCTCTGGGGCCGTCAAATGTGAATGTGTTGTGTTATACTCCAAGACAACGTATGGGACTAATATAGTTACAAAAATGCTCAAACAGTTATTTTGCTCAGTAATATCTGGCTTTCTCAATCTATGAGTGTAAAATCTCTTCTTGTGAAGACTATATGGTGCATCAACGCGTTATTCGGCTCTCAGCTATAGCTTCTGATGTTTACTCTGTAAACGATATGTCTAATATTTACAAATTTATAAAACCACTTTCCAGCGAAGCCGATATGCTATCGTGGATCTCTACCCTGCAATCATGTGCCGAAGGTACAATGTCACCTCAAATGCATAGCTCATGCTCGGTTCGTTTCATTTTTCTACATTTTTTATCCGGTAAATCAATAATCGATAAATCGATTTTGAAGAATTCGCTCATTTTTGCCCATACAGTCGAGTAGATTTGTCGGTAAATGTAGTACCGTTGTAGTACCTATAATTTGCGCGTAATCAACTAGCGACGCGAATTTCACCGGCATTGCAGAAATAACTATTTGTTCACACACATAGTCTAAGGCATTTTTTCGGCGCCGCAATGGCACTATGTATACGAATAAATCTACCGACTGTAAATCTTTCCGTATCCTCTTCCATCGATCGATATATCGATTTTGGGCAATTTTTATTGATTTTGCTGAATATTTTCAAAGGAGGAGGTCTCAGGCGGCTGCGGCGACACACACACTATAACATTGCATCCAATGTCGTGTGCGCTATATGTGCATGAGCTGTGTGTGTGTTTGCCACCGCCTCCTCCTCCTCCTCTCCTCTTCGTTCTCGTTCTCGTCCTCTTTAGCGTTGTTGTTCCCGATCCCGATGTCTCGTCGATGTTCTCTTTCTCCTGCTCGTCTCAAGCCTAATTGTGTTACTCAGAACTTCACATGCGCTCTCTTTAGACATCGTACTGGGCATACTTTGAGGACTAGGAAGGTTTCTTTGCAAGACGGAATCTTTGAGAATTTTCAGCGAGGGGAGGTGGCGAGGGTAAAATAGATTTCATTTTACTACACTTCTGCAGATTGGATCTTTTATTGAACAAGTTTGAGACCAGAAATCTTCCTTTCCCGAAATAAATATAAAAAAACCACTTACTAATCTGCTTCGAAAACAATCAGTGTGTCCATTTTTGTACTCTTCAGATCGTTTTTATTTCGCTAAGGGTTTTTTGAATTCTTTATACATACTTTGGAGACATTTGAGTCTAAAAATTGTTATATCAAAAACGTAACGAGCTGCTCTTGTTCAATATATCTAAAATTCGTACAAAGAATTGAAAAAAGTAGCCTGATATCAAAACGATATAAAGAGTACAAAAATCGGTATAAAGATTGATAGTGAAGCAGATGAAAGTGGTGACTCTTTATATAGATTTTTATAGATGCCAACTCCGTTGTTGCTAGTTATGGAGCCTATAAAATTTCTCTCCTCTATAAACATTTTTTAGTGGAATCTCTTGAAATCAAACCTTTTTTTACTATGGTCTCGAAATCGTTATATGAATACTCTAGAATCAATGGATAAATTGGGCTTTGTACCTCAGATTGCCATTATGTCCACGCTATAACATTTCTTCACTTTGAACAACATCAGAAACTTTTTTGACCAAAGAGTCTTTCATTTTGCTAGAAAATGCTTTGAAATCCGCTGGATCTCAAGATCAATCGATATAACGATTTTTACATCATCTAAAAGGTTGCTGTTTTTGCATAGAAATTTTTCCTCAAAAGCGGTGCAGGTGACGCATTTATTTGCTATAGCAATCTGATCAGTGGGAATTCTCCACATTTTGAGTTACGCCTGTTACCAGACTCTCGGGTATTCTCTTTTTCCGAAAATTTTTTGCATTAGTTTTTCCTTTTGTGCTTATGTGTTTTTCACAATTGTATCTTTCTCATTTTCTTGGTTTTTTCTCTCCCCTCCCCCCTCCATCTCCTTAATTTCTAACTCGTACCCCGGCTATCGTTTGCTAACTGCAAGCGGCTAGCAAAGGAAATAGATTCCGAAACCCACGCAGTGTTGAGCCGATGTCGCGCCTAACTACTGCGTCATCGAGCACTCGTCCTCTTTCTCTTCTTCCTTCGTCGTCATCTCCTTCCTCTTCTTTCATCTCCTACAGCCTTTCTCCTAATATAATTGCCAAAGAGACTCTGACTGATGATTGCGTGTTATTTTCGATGTCTCCTCTCGCACCAGCCGCTCTTCTCTCGTTCCCTTTCCGTTCCAGCAGGCTCGTTTTCTCGATGCCTTGCTGACTTTTCTGACGAGAATAGTGCCTAGCGAATGGCCTTCTATGAGATTGAGAATATATGGGCACATTATGGGGGTGCATGGACGAGTTGTCCGGAATTCTATGTATTCGGGTAGACTTTATGCGAAGAAAGACAAGTTGGTTTGAGTTGGCCGTAATTTCCGATACTAGCTTGATTTACTCGTCTTGCGAGCCATGGTAGACATAGTACGGGGGGAGATGGAGCTAAATGCCGACCTAATAGGGTTATACGCATGACCCGAGATTCTTACATATACGGACATGCTGTAGTAAAGCTGAGGTTTTGAACTCAGCTTGAAAATAATTACAAAAGTCAGAAACATTTCCCTTTTTTTTATGAGCAAGTTGAATTTTTTATGAAATTTTGAAGATCATAATCATCTGGGTCGTGAAAACGCTAAAAACGTGAAGCATGTGAAATTCTATAGATAGTGCTGTTTTAAAACGGGAGAAATAAATGCCCACGTAATATTATTTTAAGAGGAAAAATTTGCGAAATCATCTAAAACAATTTTTTTCGTTTCTACAAACCATTTTTTGTTGTTCCATTTCCTCTTCCCTACCCTCTCCCCCTTACTTCTCTTCCCCCTTCTCTTCTCTATTTCACGAATTATCTTTCCGTGCATGCCATGCGTCAGCGAATTTTTTTCTTCAAGGGGATTTGGCGAAATCGTTGCTTATTTAGAATTTCGGAAGAGATTGCACTCTTCAGAAGTCACGCAAATGATGTGTTGAGATGTCATTCCTGCAAACCTTATGCGCATAAACATGGATTTATGCGAGGCAAAAACATAGCTCTAAAGTCTGAAGTATATGCTAGTTATTCACTTTGTTATTCTTTTGCTTGTCATATCAGATGATACGTTTTTATCATGTTTTTCGTTTGATAAAAAGGTTAAGATTTTTTGCGTGCACGCGGGAGAAGTGAAAACACGTTTAATGACCTTTTTTGAATAAAGAAAAACAAAATATTAAATGCTATAAAAAATCAAGCAAACGTGACTGCGTTCTGAGTAATCAGCGCTTTTCGCGCTTCGAGAAATGCAGTGATAAACTCTCATTTCGTTTGAATGAGACTGTAAAACTTTGATCGCAGCTTGAACATAATCCTTTACCAACATGTGTTTTCTTGAATTCGTGGTAACAAGCTATTAAGATGCTCTGTAGGAAAATATGTAGTAATGCCGTCGCGAAAATTTAGAGGTAAAGAAGTTTCTAGTTCAGGTAGCTATAGTCTCAAAAATTTTACTGCATTTCATTGATATTTCTATTCTTCATGTCTTCCAAGTTCTGATTGATAGCAAATCACTAATCTCACAATTTAACAAAAAACAAGTTTCTACTCGTTCAACAACTTCTTTGGAAAGCTTTTTGTCCTAAACTCATCATGCATTCCCACGTAATAATGTGCTACTTTGGTGTCTGCGCGCAAAAATTTATCCCGAATGTTCCCCATGATTCCGATTTTTGCTGTAGTACTTGACTGGGCTCTAATTTTGACGTCACATGAATTTTAAAGCGGTCGTTTGTCAACCTATAACTCGTCCACCCAAGTCAAACCTGCGCTTCGTCTAATAGAGCAAGTATCAATGCCACGCATGTGTGTGTCGTCTCAGCATCGACACTGAGACGAGCCCATATCGGCATCAGTGTCGACGAAGTGAGGAGCCGGCGCGCTCGGATCGCGGAGCGTCCGAGGCCGCCGCGGCGGCGGCGGCGAAGCCTCGAGGGCTCAAAACGACACCGCCGCCGACGACGACGTCGACGACGTCGACGACGGCGATCAGCAGCAGCGGTAGCTCTGCAGCAGCGGCGGCCCTCGCCGCTGCCGCCGCCATCGCCACCGCCGCCGTCGCGTGTGTGTATCGATTCGACTCGCTTAATTCTGCCGGCTCGCCTCTATTTCGTCCGATGATCATGTCCAGTTAAGGAATTCGGGCTGCTTACGCCCGTGGTTCTGATAGCCAAAGCTGCCGCGCACCCTGCAATGGAATCTTTTGCGCGCTTGCGTTTTTTTGCAACAGTTCTCAACGCTAGAGCTAGTCCCATTAACTTCACTCGTCCTCGTTAGGATCCTGCTCAACTCAAAAGATCCAGGAGCTTCTTCCATTCTCACAAGACTCACTCTGAAGCCGGCATTTCCTTTTTTCCTCTACCCACCATGTGGCCACTCGTCGCGCGTTAGCACATGATCGCCCATTGCCCTGCGGGCCGAAGATGATAGATGGCGCTATGCTTGACGCCGTGGTGTCCTCGCTGAGTGGCGATTGTTCTTTATGTATCTGTCAAGTCGTAAAAATTGATTTTCTCAGGGGATGGGAAAAACCATGCATGATATTTAGGGAATTTTGCGCGCTAATAATCGCCGATGGCTAATAATTTCGCTCACAAAGCCCATGGTAAAGGTTCTAAGCTTACCACAATATAGATTTTATGGCATTGGAGATTTTTTCGCCGTGAAGAATTTATTCGAACTTCAGATATCTATTATTCTTCTCTTATTTCCCTTCCGCTAATTGGTAGAAAATTGGATTGACGTCATTTTCTATCATGTGCAAAACTCTAATGAATTTTTCTTCACATGGAATTATAATACCAGAGCTTTCCGACTTCCCTTAGCCTCCCCGCTTCTTCCATTGTTTCTAGCGGTATAGAGAATTTCGCGATGCAGATTTAATCGGGAAAGGTCTTATGTCTTGAAAAAGATCAAATAAGCAAAAGATCTGCGTTAACTCTTTCCTCAAATTTTGCTGCTTTTTTTTCCTTTGGCAATGAATTGAAGTTGGATTTCCTTTTCCCTACTTTTCTTTCGAGCAAATATTCGCATAGAAAGGGCTGCGAATTAAAGAACAACTGATTATGGCTATAACCTTTCCTTTTGAGTTTATTCCTTCCGACTTTCTTTTATCTTACCGTAAATCAAGCTTGAATTTCTTTTCCCTTCCCCACAAGCGAATTTTCGTGTAGAAAGGGCTGCAATGGAAAGAAAAACATAAATAGGAGAGTTTGAATCATCTTTCTCCAAACTATTATTAC